TATTAACCAACGTCACCCCAATGAATAAAAAGAAACCTCCCCTTCAGTCCCGGTTCCTCTTTTTGTGTCACACCCTCCGTCTGGTCACTGCCTCCTCTCCCTTGATCTCCAGTCTCCCACCTCCTTTCATCCCAGGCCACCGCCTGGAAACCACCATCAGCATCGTTCGACCTGATCCGCTTTCCACATAAGAAACCAGAATTACATTTCTTTTTTTTTTTTTTATCCTCACCCGAGGACATTTTTTCAATATTTTGTTCAGATAGAGTGGGAGGGGGAGAGAGAGAGAGAGAGAGAGAGAGAGAGAGAGAGAGAGAGAGAGAGAGAGAAACATCGACGTGAAGGGACACATCGAGTGGCTGCCACCCACACGACCAACAAGGGCCGGGGACAAACTGCAACCGAGGTACATGCCCTTAGCGGGAACCGAACCCGGGTCTCTCCGGACCGCAGGCTGATGCTCCAACCGCTGAGCCAAACCGGCCAGAGCCAGAATTGCATTTCAAAACCGTCCATCCGACTATGTCTCTCTTTGCTTAAGCCTCTCCATGGCTTCCCACCTCACTTGAAAGTGCAAACCGAACATTTTATCTTGGTCGAAACGCCCGAGCACGACCCAGGCCCTGCCCATCTCGCTCGCCCACAGGGGTCTCTGAGTTGCTGCCGCTGTCCCCCGGGCCTTTCCCGCCTTGTGCCCGGCTCCGGCGCCTGCTCCTGTGAGGGACACTGGCCCCTCGCACAGGGTTGGCTCTTCTCAGCAGGGCTCGGCGTCACCATCACCCCGACTCTCCATCACACTGCCACTCTCACGGACCCGCGCTCATCCCAGCTCCTGTTTGCGCCTTCGTACTGGCAGGTCCGTGAGCGCCGGGACAGCCAGCACCCAGGCCCGCCCTGGGTCCGGGCCGCGTCCGCCCCCGTCACTGCGGCAGCGCGGCCTTCACGCTCGGCCGGCCAGCTTTTCTGTCTGCAGCGGCCCGCGTGTCGCGGATCATCAGCTCCATGACTGTCCGCGAGGCAGGCGTCTCCGTCTGTACAGCCGCCCTCGCCGCGCCGCTGAAGCCGCAGGGGCCGGGGACGGCCCTACATACACTTAACATGGTTTTACTTGAGTGAAAAAACCAAACAAAACACGGCACATTTGAGTTTACTCTCTCTTCAGGTAATCGACGCCAGACTCGCTGCCCAAACCCGCAGCATGGGGCTCCAGCTGTTTCTTTCTTTCTTTTTTCTTTTCTTTTTTGTACAGATAGAGTGGGAGGGAGGGAGAGAGAGAGAGAAACATCGACGTGAAGGGACACATCGAGTGACTGCCTCCCGCACGACCAACCAGAGCCGGGGACAAACTGCAACCGAGGTTCGCGCCCTTAGCGGGAACCGAACCCGGGTCTCTCCGGACCGCAGGCCGACGCTCCAACCGCTGAGCCAAACCGGCCAGGCCGGCTTCCAGCTGTTTCGTCAGCCTCGTGGTCGCGGGCCCCGCATTCCCTCCTCAAGCCTCTTCTCGGCGTGCAAACGACATACACGCAGGGCGAGTGGGGCGCTCACCTCCTTATGTTCTTAGCATGCTTGCTCCAACTGTTTTCTGCGAGCCAACACAAGGCTTGACCAAGACAATAACCTTTAAATAGGAACTTTGTCTTTAAAATGCCTATAACTGGGCTCGTTGGGTGCAGACCCGGTAGCCGAGGGGAGGCCGGCGCTGGCCGAGGCCGAGGGAAAGCCCGGGAAGGAGTCCAGGCTGAGAACCACTAATCCGAAGGGGGCGGAGTTACAGAGCCAGAGGCACCCACCCCTGTAAACGAATCGAATGCCAGCCGACTGCGAAGGGCGGGGTTTGTCAGTGAGGCCGTCAGATTCCGATTGGAGGAGCAGCCAATCGGTGAGGCAGACACGGGGTGGGAGGGAGGGGGCGGGGTGAAGACACACTCCTGTGTTCCAGCCGCGCCCGGACGTGTCTCCGGAAGAGGGAGTCTGCTGTTTTACTCCAGACCCAGACATTCTCCATGAGAAGACCGCGGTGTGGCTCCACAGCCTGCCTACTACCGTCGTTTTCTCTATTCTTTCATGTCTCTCTTCCTCATTCTTTTCTTCTACATAAAGTAACTGATGTGTGTGCACAAGATTTGTGTTTTTTTTTTCATCCTCACCCAAGGATATTTTTGCATTTATCTTCAGACAGAGCGGGAGGGAGAGAGGAAGAAAAGAGAGAAACATCGATATGAGAGAGACACACAGGTGGGCTGCCACCCACACTACCCCAACCCGGACGGGTACAACTGCAACGGAGGTTCGTGCCCTTGGCGGACTGAACCCGGGTCTCTCTGCTGAGCCACCGGCCAGGGCAAGATTTGCTTTTTTTTTTTTTTTTTTAAGTTAGATAGTATGTTTTGATTGACATCCAATGGAGATGCTGTGGGGGAAAACACTGGTTCTGTGAAACTATGCCTTTTTTCCACTAGCAGCATGCTTGTTCAGCTCTTCTCTTTACATCCATTAAGCTACTTTGCTCTCACTGTTTAACAACAACACAAAGAACATACAAATCCTTGCATACCTTGTTCGATTATAGAATTTTAATATTTTTCATTTTTCACTATGAAACCAAGGGCAATCTTACAACTTTTGTACGCAGCTGTTACATGTGAGGTAATCTGTCTTTAAGTAGATATAAATCACTCAAAAATAAATGAATCCTTGATAGTTTTCCCTTCAAGTCAAGCATCTCACTTAAATAAACATCTTGTTTTTAAAAAAATGTCTAAAGATGGCCAAGTCACCTCTTAAGATCAGCCTGGTTAATATAAACATGAAACTCAATCTTTCAAAGACATTTTTCATTTAATTTCTCTGTATTTAATCTCTTTTTATTTAGTTACTTTACATAAAAATGTGAGATGAATTTGTACTTTTATTTAAAAAACAATTTTTTTGAAAATCATATTATTAAAATAATTTGTCCTGGTTGAAAACAGCTATAAAAAATATTAGGCTAAAAAACCCTTAGAGAAAAGCATTAGACTAGAAGTTCTTTTGTGGTCCTGGTTCCGTTGCAGTCAAGGTTTTGAACAAGTCTTAACTCCTCTGGGCAACAGTTTTCTCCTGTGTTAAAAAAAGAAAAAAGAAGGGAGGAAGAAAGGGAAGGAGAAAAGGAGGGGGGAGAAAGAAAGGAAAAGACACTGAACTGAATGCTCTCTCTCTCAAGTCCTTTTCCACTTAAAATTCTCTTGATTCTGTTAAGACCTTGCTTTTAATAAAAATACAGAGGTCTGCAGAGCAAAACAATAACAAGAGCTACCATGTTGGGGGCTCATAGGTACAATGCACTATATGAAAAGCTTTATCTCATTTAAGAGATACATGTACTAATGATTATTCTTTCCCACTTTATAAAGCTAAAAAAACAAACTTAAGCTCAAAAACCCAGTCATATAAGGTTTCTGTTTGTCTTTTCAGACACAATCCTCAGTGGCCAAAAGGAGAAATAGCTAAGTAGACAGAAAAGAATTATGAACTCAAAATGCAAATCAAAGACTTTTTTAAAGCAGTTTTTGGGGGTCTGCTGTACTGGAGGCTCGTGCACTGCCTGCAGGGCAAAGTAAGTGTGTTATCCCGACCTGTCAAAATCGCCCGATTCGGAAGACTTCAGGACCAGGCAAAAGAGTAAGACAGGTATTCACTTTCAAAATTCAAGCATAAACCTGAGGTACTTCAAATGCCATAAAATAGAAGGATAATTAAAAACTAATCTTTAGAGAGGCATAGTGGTATATGAATTTAAGAGAATATTTTCTGTATGTTATCCTATATTTAATATTAACCTGAGGATAATAAACTAAAATTAAATATATTAAAGGAAACAATGAACAAAAATCACATTTTTTAAATGTAAAGTGAGAGTTGAACTCAATTTCCCTAAGAAAATTAATACAAAAATGTAATGAGTTTTACACCACGAATTGTACTGTTTATGAAATATTTGCCAAGTTTTGCTTAATTCTTTTTATTATACATAGCCTCAATTTTTTCAACTGGTATCAATACATTTACTTTTTTTGACTGGTAAAGTACCATCTTGGTGAAGCCAGTTTCCAGAGTTAAGCTCGAATCAACACACACACAAACACACAAACAGACACACACCTCACTGTTATGAGCTAAAAGACATCCATGAGCTGTTTTAAAAAACATGTTTTGTTTTTTTTTATAAATCCTCACCCAAGGATATTTTTCCATTTATCTTCAGATCGAGTAAGAGGGAGAGAGGAAGGGAGGGAGAGAGAGAGGAGGAGAGAGAAAGAGAGAAACATCGACGTAGAGAAACACATTGATTGGTTGCTTCCTGCATGACCCCAACCAGGGCCAGGGACTGAACCGCACCTGAGGAATGTGCCCTTGACTGAAATCAAACCCAAGACTCTTTGGTCCACTGGCCAATACTCTAACTGCTGAGCCAAACTGGCCAGGACAACAAAATATTTTTGAAGCACATATATCTCAATTTACCTCAGAAATGGCATTTGATATACTGAGTACAAAGATCATAACCTGATCTTTGATTTGTGTATTTAAAACATGAATATCAAGTGATTGTAACTGAGAAACCACACAGAAAGCTAGTTTTGAGACAGTCAAAAAGAAAGGATATGTTTATTCATTAGCCATAATCTGACTTAACTGTACAAGAAGGCAACTCTGCCTCGCCTCTCCCTTGGGCAGCCCCCACACATGTCTCCTGTGCTAGGAAAATATTCTCTGATACCACGTTAAATAGTTACCTGGGGAAACTCTAATATCTGTTTCTTCAAACTGCTCTGTGACGTAAAATAGCACGTCTGATAAACCTCGGGGTGGGGGGGACGGGGGCGGTTGGGAAGAGATAAACCAAAGAACTTATATGCATCTATGCACAACCAATGGACACAGACAATAGTGTGGGGAAGGCAGGAGGGGGGTGGGAGCAGGGAGGAGAGGTTCAATGGGGGAAATAGAGGGGACATCTGTAATACCTTCAACAGTAAAGATAAAAAACAAACAAGTCGAGAGCACTTAGCAGAATGTCTTGCAGGGAGTCAGTGCTGAGTCAATAAGCTATCACCATGATTAATGTCACCAATTAGGCCACTGAAAAATAATCACTAAAATGGTGGCCTAAACAGTGAATCTACCTCCCAATGATTCCAGTATTTTTGAAAGTCAAATTCTAATTAAATCTGTGATCGTTATACTAATATAAGATATATTAAGATAGTTGTAATATATTGAAAATTTCAAGGTTATTTCAGTTTGAGAAGTCTGCATTCCTTTATCTGTACCCAAACTGAAGTTAAACAAACATAAAGATTATATGAAAATCCTCCACGCAGAAAAAAATATTTTCTATAGTAATATGAGGTTCTATTTTTTCAATGGAAAAGGAATGACTAGGAAAGAGTCCACTCTGTATAACAAATATAAATTTGCCCACCTACCTGATAGATATAAAAATAGCACAAGAAACACAGATACATGTAAACAGACTGGGCCAAAGAGAAAGGTATTTCATAGAAAGTATTCTATCATCCGAACGATATGGTTTCCTATGTTTAAGTTCTATTTATTATGTTATTTTTACAAGTAGCAAAGTCCCTGTTTTCTCCCAGCTTAATATACATGAATATTAAAAAAGCGATTGATTTCCACATTGCCCACCCCACCCCATCCGACTGGGTCGACAGGAAGTCGAGTCGGGAACCACAAGCAGCCCCTGAAGGAGGGTGGTTTCCTCCTTGACTTGCTCTTGAACTCCAGCACTCCATTCAGTCATCTTCTTGCTGATTTCTTTTCTGTCAAAGGAAACCAAGACCACATTAAAAAAGCACATTCTAACGGGCATCTTTGTTCAGCCAAAATCACTTGTTCTTCAGCAAGTATCATTTTCTAGAGGCCTTGGCAAAAGATGTGGGTGAAAATTATGGGAAAATGTGCCTGAACTTATTTACTCAACTAGTTTATCACTTTGGCTCCAGGGTATATTATCCTCAGGTATTTGAATATTTTCTATTCTCTCTTCTACAGGTACAAAAATTCCCACCCAGAAGCACACATGCAAATATTCACGTTCTCCCTTTAGTAACCACATCAGAGCTCTAATCATCTCTGAGCCATGTTACAGCAGATACATTGTCTTTAAAATTAGAAGTACTGTGAAAATTATTCAAAAGGCATGCACATCATAAAAACATTTTTGTCAATTATTAAATAAGTTATTCCTTCAGCTCACATTACATACTTCATTATAAAATGACCTAACTCGGTAATTCTGCTCCTTGAGTTCATAATCATTTAATAATAGTCTAGGTAGAATAAGACTAACATGAAATATTAAAGAGCCAATTTGAAAACAAAAATGCAGCATAAACACAGACTTTACCAGTTTGAGGAAATCGATGAGTTTGTGAGCATCTTCCCCAGTAGAGAGGTCTACAAAGTCCTTGGGCAGTCGGTAACTCAGATAGGGACTGGGCTGGACTGTAACTTCACTGTTTGTACAACGGAAAGCTGGAGAATCCTTTACCAAATAAAAAAAAAGTCTGTAAAAAAATTTAAGTCTCTTCTCCAAACAGAAAAAGATTCTATCAGAACAATTTCTATACTAGGTAAGGAAGAAATAAGATTCTCAAGTGAAAGAAGGCACCAAGACTGTAAAGCACTTCTACATATACACTACAACATAAACTAAGGCATTTGAAAACGGCGTCCTCCTGGACAGCTAGGCCGACCCCCAAACACTACCCATGTGCAGCTCTGTACTATACAAACGAGGTATGTGTCTCTCTAGTCCCGAATGGGTCAGAGGCCTCAGGCTAGTTATCGCTGGCTTTGAACAGTCTCATACAGGCCAGAATGCTTTATAAATATTACCATTTTCTTCAGGTGCACAGTTAGAAACACTACCTTAGAGAATAAAGTTAATAGTGAGGGCAAGTGCTTTGAATTCCTAACACCTTTCTTTTCTTCTTTAATGTAATTTAACTTATTTATGTCTCATCACCTCTATAAAACTGCAAATTCAAGTATCATACCAAACAAGTCTTCACATTCTCTACTGTACAGTTGACCCTTGACACAGGGAGGTTAGAGAAACCGAGCCCTATACCAGTCAAAAATCTTTGTATAACTACAGTTAGCCCTCAGCATATGCAGATTCCAACTGCAGACTGGACCCTTGAGCATTGTGGGTTTTAACTGCATGAATCAACTGGAAAGATATTCAAGTGTAAGCGGATGCATGCAGTTCAAACCCACGTTGTTCAAGGGTCAACTGTACCTGCTTAAAGCTTGCATGTAATGTTTACATGTTGCCTTGTGCCAAAAAGATTTGAGAGACAGAAGGCCTTGGGTTTGGACTTCATGGACAGATATCTAGCTGAGGGATGGATGTGTCCAGCAGATGAAGACAGGCCAGAAGCTTGACTAAAACAAGACCTAGAAAGCAGGCCACACTTTATGACAGACTAATCATCTGATGGGTATTTATGAAACACCTACTTCTACTGGACCTTTTTCTAGGTATGGGAGATAAACTGATATCCAAGACAGGCAGACAGCCAATCAGCAAGCAAACAAATAAATTAACAAGTTTATTTCCGATAGTACAACGTGTTCTAAAAACAAAACCACAGGCTGCTATCACAGAGAACCAGGTAGGCCGCTAATTTAGAGGGGCAGTCAGGTAAGACCTTGCTAAAGAGGGGGCGTCTGGACTGAGAGCTGGAGAGCATGACAGAAACAGCCTCGTGGGGTCTGGGAGCAGAACACGGCTTTGGAGGAAGTGGAATTCGTGCAGAGTGGCAGGGCTTTGAGCTTCCAGAAACAGGAGACCAGGCTTCTGTGGGGTGCAAAACAGGCAGGTGATGCTGGGGAAAGGGCGGGAGCCACTTCCTGTTTCCCTCTGTCATCCCTCAAAGTCCAATGTTTAAATTAAGAAGAAAAAAAGAAAGAAAAAGAGAGAGAGAAAGAAAGGAAGGAGAATAAAAAGAAAAATTTGATCATATTATTTGGATCATAGACTGAATCTTGTACAAACTGTTTCTATTCAATAACTGTGTCCCTCATATTTAAAAATAACCCTGTGCTGAATAATTTACATTCTTTTCCTGGACACTCAGACTTAATGGACCACCACAGTAAGATGCCAGCAAGGATAAAATTCCTTCTCTCACTAGTTTGACACACATTAATTGTGCCTGGCATTGTGTTAAGCCCTGCAGATATGTGGAGAACAAGAGACACTACCCCTGTGCTCAGAAGCCTGCAGTCCAGAGCAGGACACAGGCAAGTCAACAGGCAGGCAGCACACAGAGGACAAGTACCTTGACAGGGAAAAAGTCCAGTTGAATCAGATCTAGAGAAACAGGGCTAAAGAGGGCCCAGGACAGAGTAATGATGAAAAGAATCATTTCAGAGATGGACAAAAGGAAACATGGTCACATGGAAGGCAAGGCAGCAGCCAGAAGAAACCCAGGAGGGGAGCACGGGCCCAAGAGCCAAGGGAAGTGGTGTTGTAAGAACAAGAGGGTAACACATTCAAATGGTGCCGAGTGGTTAGGTGAGAGAAGGGCAGTACGTTCACTGGAATTAGCAACAAGGCAGAGGTGCCCTTGCCAAGAGTAGTCTATGTGGATGGCAGGGACTGAGGTTAAACAGGCTGAGGAGTGACAGGTGAGAAGAGGTGACAAGGAGACGGGGAGACGGAGAGAAGCAGCAGGCAGCAAGGACAGAAGACCATGTAAGGAAGTGGCAGTGAAGATGTACAACTACTGAGCAGTTACAAAAAAGCAAGTTACATAGTAGCCTGAGGGAAGCAACTGTGACCACATATGTAAAAATGTGTGGTGCATCCACACACAAAAATAAGAACACAAGTGGTAAGGTGGCTATTTCTATGTGGTAGGATTTCCAGTCTTGACTAATTCCCTCTCTCTTTTTTTAAATGACCATGTTAAAAACAACAGCAGCAACTGTTTTTAAAAAGATGTAAAATATTCACAAGATAACACTAAATTAAAAACCTGAGATACATAAGTTCACATGTAGCATAATCTCATTTATTTAAACAAGATTATTTGTGTGTGGAAAAGGCATGTTAGTATTAAAATATAAACAGTGGTCCTGGCTGGTGTGGCTCAGTGGATAGAGTGTCGGCCTGTGCAGCAAATGGTTGAGAGTTTGATTGCTGGTCAAGGGCATGTACCTGGGTTGTAGGTTCAACCCCTGGCCCCAGTTGGAATGTGTGTGGGAGGCAACCAATCAATGTGTTTCTCTTACAGTGATGTTTCTTTCTTTCTCTCTCCCTATTTCCCTCCCTCTTTCCTTTCCACTCTCTCCTCTCTATCTTTTATTATCCTCACCCGAGGACATCTTTGCATTCATCTTCAGATGGAGTAGGAGAGAGAGAGAGAAACATTGACGTGAGAGAGACACATCGACTGGTTGCCACCCACACAATCCCAACCAGGGCCAGGGACAAACTGCAAATGAGGTACATACCCTTAGCGGGAGCCGAACCCAGGTCTCTCTGGTCCACGGGCTGATACTCTAACCACTGCCAAGCCGGCCAGGGCTCTCTCTCTTTTTGTAAAAATATTTTTTCTTTATTGATTTTACAGAGAGAGGGAGAGGAAGAGAGAGATGGAAACATCGATGAGAGAGAACACTGATTGGCCACCTTCTGTATGCCCCCCACTGGGGATCAGGTCCACAATCTGGGCATGTGCCCTGACCGAGAATCAAACCAGCGACCTCTTGGTACATGGATCAACACTCAACCACTGAGCCACATCGGCCAGGCGACTCTCTTTAAAAATCAATGGAAGTCCGGCCAGTGTAGCTCAGTGGTTGAGCATCGACCCATACATCAAGATGTCGCCGGACACATGCCTGAATTGTGGGCCTGACCCCCAGTGGGGGGCATGTGGGAGGCGGCCAATCGATGTTCTCTCTCATTGATGTTTCTATTTCTCTCTCTCTTTCACTTCCTCTCTCTCTAAAAATCAATAAAGGAAAAAAAAAATTATTTAAATCAATGGAAAAATATCCTCAGGTGAGGATAAAAAAAAAAAAAAATGAGCATGTAGTACTTTTATAGGTAGAACAATGCTTTACAAAGTTGTTGTTGAAAGACATTTTGGCTGTGAAGATGAGAAAAAAAGGAGAGTAGCAGGGTGAAGATACAGGCTTGAAGTCTTTTTAAGATGGGAGATATCTGAACATGGCTACCTACTGAGAGATCGGAGCTGGAAGATGGAAAGACCGGGAACACTGGAAAGAAGGTGATGATAGCACGAGGTCTGTGGAGAGACAAGAAGGAACGGTACACTGGGCGGGTGGAGGTGAGACTCGGGAGGACGGCTGCAGACAAGGCTGGAGGTGTGATGACAATGAAACTGCAAGAATTCTCACCGATGGGTTACCTTTCCTATGAAGAAGGACATGAAACCTCTGCTGAGAAGAAAAGGAAGAGAGGACCGAGGAGGGGAAAGGTGTGAGACGGCCACTGTGGCTGATGGCAGGGAAGTTGATGAGGGAAACAAGACAAAGTAATAAGGACCACTTCAACTTGGGGTCATGACTGCGAAGAGACCCGAGTCTGAGCATCTGGGTAACTTTCCTCTGTCATTGTCAGCAGCCTGGGGCCAGGGTCAGAATAAACTGACCTACCCAGGGTCAATGTTCTTCCAGGTGGACAGGACACAAGGACCCAAGAAAAAAAAATACCAGGAAAAAATGTATCAGACGACCATTATTTCTTTAAATGAAGTTAAGTGGATGAATCACTATGTACACATTTTTTTGCTCACCTGCATGGACAACAATCTATTAGTAAATTTGTTATACTCTATACTTCCCAAGGGTGTAAGTCACTGCCTATCCAAGCACCTAGAGAACTAGCAATTATTGAGGGGATTAAAATATTTCCTTTATGTCTTTTTTTTTTTTTTTTAAACCATCTTACCTGCTCCAGAGCATCTCCTTCACTAAAATCACCATTTAAGTTTCGTTCAGATATCAGTTCTTCCCAAGTAAACAGCAGTGAATCTGTTACCTCGCCAAATGGATTAAAATCAATTAGCCACACCTTCCCCTGTAGGACAGAGAGAAAAATTAAGAGGCATAGACTAAAAACAAACATTTAAGCTCTTTAATCTGTCTTAAAATCATTAATTCCTCCAGGTCCCATGGGAGAAAGTCCTCCAAGCTTCATTGACAAAGGGCCACCTGTCTAAACCAAGGGCCACAGCCTCATCTCCAGGAAGGCCTCCTGTAAATGCCAAGAAGAGGCCTAGAAAAGAAAAGCCTGACAAACACATATGCTCCTGCCTCGGATCACATGAGAATTTTAAGTTGAAAAATCCAAGCAGGAAACAGGAGAATCTCACCAACGGTTAAACTGAGCGTGACTGGCATACTTTCAGGGGATGTCTCTGATTACTTTTCAAGAGGATCTTTGCCCTGCAGAAGCAAGAAAGAGCAAGAAGCTCTGGAGAACACCATTCCCCACCCTGAGAGGCTGCTGCTGCAAAGTGTGCATTTTTTTTGAAGCATATAGAAAGAAGCATGGAAATGCTCAGTTTTCTTTCATTTTAATGTAATATTTGTTTGCCTATATGTTAGAGCTTAATAGCACATGAGAGGGAGAGCGAAAAAAATGCATCAACCTTCAAAAGAAAGGTCTAACTTCTCCTACTCAGAGAGTAGAGGGGGCAATGGGATAGTTCCAGGCTCAGGGAAAGAATTCCTCTGAGCTGGTCACACTGAGTTAGAGTCAGGGACATCTTAGGATAAAGAGCAGAGCACTGGCATTCCAGAGCCGGGACTCTGAAATCCTGCCAAGAGGTTAAAGCCCACAGATGACCATGGAAATACAGGTGACATTTAGCAGATACACGTTTCCTTCAAAATTTTATCTTTGCTCCTCTTGAGTTTTCTCGAAATAGTCATATCACTGTATTGTTTTGTTGTTGATAATTAGGTTTTCCTGTAAATGTGTAGCAGTCATGTCTTGTTTGAGACATGCATGTGTAAAATTACAAATGCCCGAGAAACTAGATCGACGAGCCACCATTACCAATATCTAGCATTGTTTCTCATTGGGGTGCAGCGAGGGTCATGAGAAAATTTCGAGGAATGAAATAGTTCTAAGTCATCATTGTAATAGTCATTATGCAACTAGATGTGTTTTTTAAACTCACAGAACTATACACTAAAAAGGATAAATTCAACTCTATGTAAATTATATCTCAAAAAAATCTAAGCAAAAAAAAAATCAGTTATTTTAAATGATTTAATATATAAAAGAAATCAAAACCCTAAAACACAAAGACACTATGAAAAAAAAAAGGAGATTTTACAAGTAACCAAATAGAACCTACAGAAATGAAAAATATAGCTGATACAATTTACAACTTAGTGAATAGGTTAAACATATCAGATGAGACATAGCTGAAAGACAGCTCATAAACTGGAAGATATATCTGAGAAAATTACAAAACACAGTACAGAGAGAGAAAGACATGGGAAATAAGAAGTCAAGAGACATGAGGATAAAGTGAGAAGCTCTAACATACCATCCTAAAAATAGAGTTCCAAAGGCCAAAAGATAGAAAAGGAAGAGGCAATATTTGAAAAGACAGCTGAGAATTCTCCACAATTAACACAGGAAATGAATTCTTAGACCTAGAAAGCATGACCCAAAAAAGAAAAGAAGACAAATAACAACAGAACAGTGTCTTCAAAGTGCTGAGGAAACAGACTGGTCAACTGAAAATTCTATACCCAGCTAAGCCTGTCATCATGCATAAAGGTTAACAAAAGCTTTTCCAGCCATGCCAAGGACTAAGGGAATTTACTACAAAATAATATATACTAGGAAGAACTGGATCCAGAAAGCACTGAGAGGCAAAAAGCAGTGGTAAGCAAAAAAACTGAACAGCAACAATCATGACTATTGTAGGGGTATAAACACAAACTGGAACTAAAAATCAGATATCACATGTAAGACAAAAGGGGGTGCTGGGAATTACCGTACGAGAGTCCTTGCGTCATGAAGACAACAAGAAGTGAAATTAACTTCAGAGCTTATTAAATATCCATATTAAGATTTAGTGGTACTACCAAAATTAACAGACATAAAAAACTAAACTTCAGAGTTATTGGGGGGAGGGGGATGAAAAGAAAAAGAAAAACCAGTAATATAAATTAAACAAAAAAAAGGCATAGAAAAGCAAAGCAAATCAAAAACTCAAGATAATGAAAACATTCAACTATCAAATACAATAAACGCAAACAATACTCACTAGCTAAAAATAGAAATTATCATTGATTAAAAACACAAAACCGTCCCTGGCCGGTTTGGCTCAGCAGTTAGAGCGTCGGCCTGTGGTCCTGAGAGACCCTGGTTCAGTTCCCGCTAAGGGCACGTACCTCAGTTGCAGTTTGTCCCCTGCCGTGGTTGGGTTGTGCGGGTGGCAGCTACTCGATGTGTCCCTTTCACATCGATGTTTTCTCTCTCCCCCCACCCCCAACTCTATCTGAACAAAAATATCCAAAAATGTCCTCGGGTGAGGATAAAAAAAAACAAAAAAAACCCCCACAAAACCGGCAATATGCTACTTATAAGACACATGCACACATCTAAAACCTAATAGCTAAAGAGAAAAAGACTGAAAAACGTAAACTCTAAGACCAAAAATCTGTAATAACAATCAATTTCAGAGCAAAACATACTTTAATGCCAAAAGCACAAAAGCTTTCCTAGGAATCGAGAGGGACACTGTCTGATGATGGGAATTCACTGGGAAAACAAAACCACTGTGGACTAGCATTTTTGGAAGAATATAACCTCAAAGTCTGTATCACAAAAGCTGAAAGAATTAGAAAGCAGATGTTAACATGACCCTGTTCAGTAATTGATAGATTAAGGAGAGAAAAAAATTAAGATATAGGTTTTATGGTTTTAAAGTTTTTAAATTTATTTTATTTTATTTTTTGGTACATGTCCCTAGCGGGAACCAAACCCAGGACACACTGGTCCGTAGGCCGACGCTCCAAGTGCTGAGCCAAACCAGCCAGGGTGGTTTTAAAGTTTTTAAAAAAATTTTTAAATGTATAAGTTAAACATATAAAAAGTAGACAAAATAGTATCAAGAACCCAATGTACCTAACACTCAGTTTCCAGTGATCTTGTGGATCCCCATGGCCAATCTTCTTTCATCTATACCCCTCACATTCCCCCAAAATCTGTAACATTTTGAAGGTATCGTCAGGCATCATTTCATTCATAAGACATAAAAGATTTTAATAATAGCCTGGCTGGTGTGGCTCAGTGGACTGAGCGTCCTCCTATGGACTGAGAGGTTTGGGTTTGACTCCTGGTCAGAGCACATGCCCAGGTTGCGGGCTTGATCCCTGGTGGGGGGCATGCAGGAGGCAGCCGATTGATGTCTCTCTCTCACATCAATGTTTCTATCTCTCTCTCCCTTCCTCTTTCTCTAAAAAATCAACAAAAATATTTTAAAAAAAAAGATTTTAACATTATTCATCTTAATCAAACAAACAACTGCAGACTACATGACACATTAGAAATTGTACTTTGTTTTTCAATTACACATAGAACAGTGACCAAGTTGCAAAGCCAAGCTCAACAATATTGAAGACTCAAGACCAGACACAGTAACAAAACAGTGATATAAGGGGACCAGAATAATTTTTCAAGTATCTAAGGCAGTTACTCTAAATTCTAGTGGTGCATTAGCATCACTTACAGAGCATCTTACAATACATATTCCCAGGCTCGTCCCAGACCACTGCTTTACACACGACATTAGAATCTACCAGCACTGAGTCAACTTGCCAGCTGCAGTAAGTAGACACATCAAAATATTGCCAAGCCCACAACTTTAGTTATAACAGAACAAATAAAAGAGTTTTCCACAAGAGTCCTAAAATTATATATTCAAGAAAGTACCTAACAAATGGTGATATAAGTGCCACTGACTAAATGGAAATTAGTTTCACATCATGGTTTAAATCTCTTCTCAGAAATTGTCATGGTGTTTGTACTGGCATGTTTCTCACTTTAATAACATACAACTTTCAGTTGTGTCAGATCACAGCAGTCATTACTTATACACATCTCCAACTTTAATTGAGACATTTGCAGCCATGGCTGGTTTGGCTCAGCGGTTGGAGCATCGGCCTGCAGACCAGAGTCCTGGGTTCGGATCCCACTAGAGGCACGTATGGAAAAAAAAAAAAAGACATTTGCAGACCTGGACACTGCCCGGGAAATAATGGGAGACTGGTAAAGTCCAAATTTTCAAATCTCATTAATATAAGTGCATTAATATATAATTGCTTCCGTTTTAATATATGTAAAATGGGAACAAATAAGTGAGATACAGTAAACCCTCTATTTTGTGGACCTCGATTTAACAGACTTTGGATTCATATGTCATATGTGAAAATGAACACCCTGTTAATATTTAAATGCTTTTAACCAAGATTTGCTTATAATTAAATTAATAGGTATTTTTTGTTATTAATTCAGTTATTTTAAACACATTTTAGCAAATAGGCCACATGTTGGAAAATACACTATAGTAATTTTTTTTTTTATCCTCACCCGAGGACATTTTTCCATTTTTTGTTCAGATAGAGCGGGAGGGAGAGAGAGGAAGAGAGAGAGAGAAACATTGATGTGAAAGGGACACATCGAGTGGCTGCCACCCGCACGACCAACCAGGGCCGGGGACAAACTGCAACCGAGGTACGCGCCCTTAGCGGGAACCGAACCCGGGTCTCTCTGTACCGCAGGCCGACGCTCCAACCGCTGAGCCAAACCGGCGGCCAGGGCAACACTATAGTAATTTTGCCAACATAAATAAATACTACCTATCTACAACTATAGTCTACATATTTCAATCCAAGAGTCACTGCTCATAAACAATGTTCGGCAAATGATTAGCACATGATCACACTGAATCGCGCGCAGTAACTGGTTCTCTTATTGAGTGACATGACTTTAGGCAGCAGTTTTAATGTATGTCAGCTGATGCACTGGGCCACACCCCAGCTGTGCGCATT